CCGGCCTGCTCCCGTTGGCCCAACTACACCTTAACCACTGGAGCGCCCCCGACCGCCCCACCACAGGGCTGCGCAGGGGGCAATCGGCGATCCCCCGCCTGCGGGGAGGCCCCGAGTTTAAGAGGGCGTGCCCGTCAAGAGTCATTGCGTCGGGGGAGGGTGTTGGGCGGCTGACGGTGGAGCGCGCTCGCGCTGGTGAGGGCGATTCCGATTGCAATGCACACAGAGCGTGCTTTCGCTTGTGGACAGAGTCCACCCGGCCAGTTAGCATCAGCAGCCTCTTCATGCTCTGAAGAGCTCTCTAATGAAAACAAGAAAGGATAGCGACCTCTGACCAGCACCACGTCCTCCGCCCCGCCCCCGCCCCCCTCCGCCACCCCGCACCCGTGGCCGTGCACCCGAGCATAGCCGTGTTGCGTGTAGGGGCTGTAGCGGCTCGCCTCGCATCTCAGACATCACCCTGGATCACGCCGCACTCCTCAAGGGCCATGCCACCCCGCCGTAGCTCTCTCGAGCGCCGCGGGCACCACCTCGAAGTCCATCTCCGGCCGCCGCACACGCACATGAGGAGCGCGACGCCGCCGGGCGCGACGTGCTTTGCGACAGTTACAGTTGCCCAGAGGGCCGGCAAGCAGCTCCCCAGAGCAGCTCCCCGGCTAGGCGAGGTCTGAGCCGATCAGGACAAGGGTAGGGGAGGGCCACGGGGCCAGGGGTCAGGGCTAGGGCCAGGGCCAGGGGTAGGGCTAGGGCTAGGGGTAGGGGTAGGGGTAGGGGTAGGGGTAGGGGTAGGGGTAGGGGCATTCCGCGCGTCAGGTATCGCGGCTGTATCTCGGCTGTATCTCGGCTGGCATCTCGGTGGCACCTCCGCGCGGGCTCAAAGTCTGCCGACAGGCATTCGTCCCAGTCTAGCGACGCCATCCTCGCGGGCACGCCTGACAGCGGCCTGAGGAAGGCGAAGCTGTACGAGTACTGACTAGCACTCCTCTCACAGCGCCGCACTCTCGGACACGCCGTTCCGGCGCGCGTTGGCGGCGAGGCACGGCCCAGACTTGAGGAGCGCTCCTCATCGCCGCAGAGGTCGGAGAGAGTGACGTGCGCCGCGCCTAATCTCGCGTGATCGGGAGATCTCGTGACGGTCTCGGGAGATCTCGGCAGGCGGGGCCGCGCGCCGGCAAGCGCGGCGCTGATGCCTCCCACCCCGACGCCGCTACCGAGCTCGAGCACAGCTGTCCGAGTGTCGTTGCAGCGATGTGCTGAGGCCGACGCCGGCGTCCCACACCCGTGCGCCGACGCCGCACGCGGCGTCCGCTTCCTTCACCCGCTTCACCCTCAAGCCGGCTCCACAGCTTCCCGCTCCGGGGCCTCTCGCACTCGGGAGCAGAAATCTCCTTGTCCCGCCTCCCAGCCGCCCGCACGCCGCCGGGCCGCACACGGGTGCGCTCGGTGTCCGGCGCCTCAAACTCGACCAGCGGCGGCGGAGGCGTCGCCCGCCCGCAGGCTGCTCAGATACTCTATCACGAGACGGTCCTCATCCACCGCGACCACGCCACGCTGCCGGAGGAGCCAAAAGTTGGTCGGCGTGCCGATCGTTCCGAGCGGCGGCTGGGTGCGCGAGCGTCGGAAGACAGGCGCGGGAGAGGAGCAGCATCCCGAGTAGCAGTCGCAGCGGCAGCAGAAAAAGAAGGGCGAGCCTGCGTAACGAGTGGAACTCGTCGCGCGGCATGGCCAGGGCCTACCGGGTATGCAGTGCAAAAGAATTTTTCCACCTCACTTTTTTTCTCCCAGTAAGCTAAAAGTCGTACATTTCGAGAGAGAACGTACATTTCAGAGATTTGTTGTAGAGTCTGTTGCGGGCATTGAGAAACCTTACCATTAAGAAACTCTACCAAGCGATTTCCGCAAAAATCAAACACACAATCAAACACAAACAAGGCGTGAACCGCGCCATTCGCTCTCACCTGGCAACCCTGTCTGCACGTCTCGCGCGCGCGTGAACAGGGCTCCAGGCCCCAAATGACGTGTGAGTGTTAGATTTGTTTGGTATTGCTAAAAATCTCTCTCAAAAATCTAAGAAACCACGGCGCGCCGACCAAAAGAAACTCGCGCCCATCGTGCGTCCGTTGGTCCCTCAACGATTATAAAATGAAGCAGAGCACGAAACAAGGTCAGCGGAGCAGCACACACGGGGCCTGCACAATGCGGCGTGCGCTTCTCGCCGCGTGGCTGCCCATCTTAGCCAGAGCCCAGCCCGATGAGACTTCTCCACCGAGCCCGTCGACCTGCAGCTACCCCAACTCGTTCCGGCAGACCCCGATTCGCCCCTTTTTCTATGAGTGGCGGGCCTCGCACGAGGGCGCCGTCATGCCTCCGCTGGAATACATCAGCGACGAGGCCTTTGCGTGGCTGCTGACGTACTGCACGTGGGTGAGCGTACTCATCATCGGTCTTGGCAGTGAGCTGATCGTGGGCCACATACTCGTCGAGGTCCTGTCGGTCAAGCGGCTCAAGCAGTTCTGGCAGGGCGCGCAGCTCGCCTTCCCCCTGTTCCTAAACATTGCGATCGCGAGCCGGAGCTACTGGGGTCTGCTGTTTCTCGTTCTCGGCCTGTGGAAGTGCGGCAGTCCCGAGACGATCGCCTTCTACAAGCTGGCACGCAAGCGCAACGATCCCTGGCTCGCGCGTCTCGAGCACGCGTGCAACTTTATTGGCACGCTCATCCACCACTCGGCGACCTCGCTCCTGGTAGTCAGCCTCGTGACAGGGCGGGAGCTCCTCGACCGCAACATGCTCACCTGCACGCTCCCCCTCGTCGTCCAGCACTGGACCGTCCTCCTCAAGTACGTTGACGCATTGCTCTGCACGGCAGCCGTTCTCGTCGTCGAGGTTGTCTGGGAGTGGGAGGTGCTCTGGAACCTGCAGCTCCACGACTGCATTGGATGGCACCTCGCGCTGATAGCCTGGGCGATGCTGGCCGCGCACTGGCTCTACCTCACCGCCGCGATCATCAAGCTTCTCCGCGCAAGGCCCACGATCCCCTCCCCTGCCGCGGGGCCTCAGCCCTTGCCAGCGAGCCTTGAGCGGGGGGACAGTGATCAGTCGCTCCAGAGCGCAGCGAGTGATGGCTCCGCCGGCATCCCGGCTCGCTGGTCAACGCGCTTCGCCGAGGGAGTCGAGCACAGATTCTCTGAGGCTCGCCTCCGCTTGAGCACGCTCACAGAGAGTCCAGTCAACGGCATGCTGCAAAAGCGGCAGAACGCCGCCTGGGGGATCGCGGGGGAGACGAGCGTGCTTGCGCCCCTTTCTGGCGCGCCCAGGGGGGGGCGCGAGCCCCGCGTCCGGTTCCGGGTTCCACGTTCGCCTCCCAAGGGGACCCGCCGCGAACCACGCGGACACCACGAGGACATGCCTCGCGAAACCGACTCTCCGGGTACCCCCAGCTCCGCCGGTCGTGCCGACTCCGACATTGACGGGTGGCGAAGGGTGGTGCTGGGCTCGGAAGAGCTCGCTCGCCGCAAGCCGGGCCCAGTGCCGCAAGGCCGGCAGCCTATCGACTAGCGCTGGCGCGGGGGCGCGGGCGTGGCTAGCGCTCCCCACGTGAGCAGTGTGCTGTGATCGACGTGTGATCGACGTGCGTGCGTGACCAACCACTTCCCCCGACCGACTTGTGTGTGTGCGCTTTACGTGCGAGACCTGCAACACACCTCGCTCTCGAGACCTACCTGTTCCTGACTTCTGTCAGATCCCCATGCGGCGGCCCATCTGATGTAGCCCGGTCCACTATGTCAAAACCCCACTGAGAAATTATAAATTTCTCTAGAGCTGGTGCCGCCACTAGATGAAATGCTCCACTGGGCCCCCGGAACACGCCTGCGCGGCGGTGAGCAGTGAAGAGGCGCGGAAAGCTGATTTTTTTACTTTTGGACGCATTTCGGGCTCCGTACTGGTTGACGCAGAGCCGCACGCGTCGACCGGCGCCGTTCGCGACCACGAGGGCGGATGCTGGCCATCCCGGGCTCTGTGCACATCAGCAGCGCGCGTTCTACGCGCTCCCCTATCCAGATCTTGGCGAACCACCTCGAAAGCGCCGTTTTTATCTCGTGCAATCTCGAGCCGTGGAGATTAGGCCGAGATCGCTTTGAGCTGCGGGAGATGTTTGGGAGATACAGCTACAGTCACACGGACCCGCGGGGCGTGCGCAGCTCGCGACGGAGATGTTTACAGAGCCCGGGCTCGCTGCGAAGCGGTGAGCGGCGCCCGAACGGCACCGGGCCGCGTGCCGCTCTCTGCAGCTCCGACGCGGCCGGGCGGCTGCCAGAGCCGCACGCGCCGACCGGCGCTGTTCGCGACCACGAGGGCGGATGCTGGCCATCCCGGGCTCTGTGCACATCAGCAGCGCGCGTTCTACGCGCTCCCCTATCCAGATTCCGGCGAACCACCTCGAAAGCGCCGTTTTATCTCGTGCAATCTCGAGCCGTGGAGATTAGGGGAGATCGCTTTGAGCTGTGAGAGATGTTTGGGAGATACAGCTACAGTCACACGGACCCGCGGGGCGTGCGCAGCTCGCGACGGAGATGTTTACAGAGCCTGGGCTCGCTGCGAAGCGGTGAGCGGCGCCCGAACGGCAGGGTAGCGTGTCGACCTAGACTGAACGCGACCGAGCAGCAAGGTACTAGGAGTGGCAGCCCGTGACAGCACCGGCAATACGCTTGGGGAGCGGTAGAGCAACGGCCCTGGTAGTGGTGGGCGAAGCAGCGACGGCGATGGCGATGGCAGTGGCGGCCCTGGCGGCGACGGCCGTGTTGGCGGATGAGGCGGCGAGACGGCGACGGCGACCAGGGCGACCTGTGCAGGCCGTCACGAGTCGTCACAGAGGTCGAAGTACTTTTCATCGCCTTCCAAGCCCTCGTCGAGCACGACCGCGTCCGCGCGCGCTGCCGCCGCAGCCCCTGCTCGGCGGAAGGCGTCCTGCAGCGGATGCTCGTAGGGAAGCGCGTCCTCTCGCGCCGCTGCCCGGAGGAGCCAGCGCAGCCGCACGCGCTCCTCGTGCATGAAGGCCGTGTTTGCTGCGCCGGCGGCCTCTCGCTCCCTCCTGGTCCTGAGCGCTCCGAGCGGGCTGATGCCCGGGCTGGTCGAGAGGTACTCGGCAAAGGACTGCTTGCTCATCAGCTCGTCGTCCGCGCAGTAGGCGAAGAGGCGGCGGCGGAACCAATGCGCCCACGGCCCGCACTGGTAGCCGTCGCTCTGCAAGTTGAGCGTCACGCTGACTAGCTGCCAGCCCGTGTCCTTTGGCGCCGCATCGAAGGCGTCCCGAACGCGCGCTAGAGGATGCGTGCGGCTGAAAATGCTGGTGCCGAACGGCTCCCAGTGCACGGCGAGCCGCTGAGGCCCGATGAGCGCGACGTTGTGCCAATGGGCGCCGTCGCAGACCTGCTGCAACATCACGCAGTCGCAGAGTTGCAGCACCCGCTGCCCTCCTCTTTGACGGAAGATGCTGCATGCCGAGGCTACGTCGCGGGGGTAGTTGTACCGCAGCGGCGAGCCGGCGCCACTCTCGCCGTCTCGACGCTCGTCTACGTAGTGTGCGTTGGCGAGGTTCGAGTCGCTGAACCACTGCCGGTGGTAAGATGAGATGTAGCCAGCCTCGCCGACGCGCAAGTGGGGCGGTCCCTGTAGCTCTGGCTCCACCAGCTCGACCTCCACCTCCTCGTCGTCGGAGCCGGGTCTGCCGGCAAACAGCGCCTCGTCCTCGACCTCGTCCTCCCCTCCCGTCTCTTCTCCCTTCCTGCGGGCTTCCATGTCTGATATGATCGTGTCCCACGACACCCCCCCACCCTCGGCGCGGTTGGCAGCGGCTCTAGCCGCCTCGGCGTCCTCGGCTATCGCGCTGCGGCGCCAGCGAGGCGCCTCTGCCGAGCCAATCTGGCTCACATCAGAGACAGGGTTCCACAGCTGTTTCATCGACCATGTCTCCACCTTGGTGAAGAACGGGCACTCCACGTACACGTTCTCCTCCTCGGTATCCTCGTGCAGCCAGCGAATCTTTATCTTGATTCTCATGACCGCCTCGACGCGAGCGAGGTACACCTCTGGGTCTCCATCCTGCCGGACGGCCCAGAGGACCTCCACGACGTTCCCCACCTGCAGCGACCTCCGGATCGCCGCTGTGCTCACGCCCTTCTCCAACGGCCAGCCCGGCTGGCGACCCTCGCCCTCCGCCGAGCTCGCCGTCCCGCCGTCGGCCGCGTCGGTCGAGCCTCCGGCCTCGCCCGAGCCCTCCTCCCCCTCCTCCTCCGCCCCGCCCTCCTCCTCCTCCTCCTGCGGCTCGTCCACGAACGCCGAGAGCTCCATGCTGTCGAGCCGGAGATCCTGCAACTGCGCGGCGAGGCCCTCCTTCTCGGTGACTCGCTTGGACACGTTGTGTCCGAGAGCGGCCGACGCGGCGCTCCAATCGGCTGCCGTTGTCGGGTATACGTGCCCGCGGTGCCGCGGTGCCGTGAGCCTTGTCGCGCACATCTCCGACCGGCGCTGCGTCCCGTGCAAATCGCGAGAGAGCGTCTTGACGACCGTCTCCGAGAAGAAGTTGCTGATCGGCACAAAGACGCCGACGCTCCAGATGGAATCGTAGACGTCGCTACCGCCCGCCACGTCGCGCAGCTGCGTCGGCCGCTTACAGCTTGCCAGCAGCTTAAAGACGCCGAGGGCGTCGTCCTGAAACCAGAGGCCG